AACTTCATTCAAAGTGGCTTTAAAGATAAGTTTGACACTTAAAGAAAAAAGGGGTGTGTGTGTAAAACTGCAGATGAAATCTGACCAGTAGTTTTGGTCTTATTAATAATACACGACACAAGACTCCTTGTGATATCTCGGAAATCCCAAATAAAACATGATTTTTCCCTGTACTTACAAGAGGACTATATGTACTCAGATGCTGTGGGCTGCGTTCTCTGCTTTTCCAAACTCTTAATCAATCCGCATCAGAGCTTATAAACATAAAATGCTGCTGAATCAGAACAGTGTCACCCAACAGTCACGGTGCGCTGACTTTTCACAGGCAGAAATAACTTCACATAAATTAGGACACCCAGGAATCGGTCTGTGGTATTAACATTTCTGTTTATATTAATAAAAACTGTATTTTGTATTCCATTATATTTATTTAACCTTTGACTCGTAAGCTCTGGGTCAGTTTGCTCTTTATAACAGTGCATTTCTTCTTCAGTTTTGTTTCTATATTTAGAGAACTCATGCTCAGAAACAAGATTTTTGTTTAATTCCTCCTCCCCCCCCCAGTATACTTAATCTAGCTCAGGGGTTTTGGTGTTTCTCTGCAACCTGTAATTTACTCTGCCAACTCAGATACTGTATTGCTGCTTTTACCACAGTTAAAGAACGACTGACAAGTCCTTTTCAAAGGTTTTTTCAGTCTTCAGCATGTTCTTCATTCTCTCATATGCAGTCCACATGTAGTAAAATATAGCCATTTTTACTGCAAATAATATTGTTATTTTTCTCTCCGTCTCTTCTCCTATCATTTTTCCTCTACCATCATTTTGGCAATGGAGCTGAAACAAATATACCCTTCACTGACAATCTAGTATACAACTATCTCGATGTCAGCAGGAAAGAATGCAGCGAGCTCTAAGAATAGCACATTTGGTTCCTACAGCACAAGTGGAGCTCAGAAATGCACAGGGTGTCCCACCCAAACAATAACTATTTACTAGCTAACATCCCCCCAACAAAACAACCTTTTAAGTTGTGTTTTGGTTTTCAACCCTTTACACACAGAGCAGTGGGCAATACTGCCCTCCTCCCTGAGGCTCTCCAATTTTAACTCCGACAAACTTGGGCTTGGAAAAGTAATAGCCACCCAAAGGGTTTCTTTTATTCCAGCCTGACCTAAACCGCAAAGGTCACCGGCTCATTTTCCTGCCTTTGGGGAACCCTCCTTTCCGTCTGCAAAGACCTGTGTCTGTTCTTATATTGGTGGGAGCAAAAGAAGAGCTCTTCTGGAAGCAGTGATGTTGTATCAGCATTGCTGAAGGCACAACTGGGCCTGATATATCTGACATGCCAGAATAGGAGATCTGCAAGTACAAACTACTGAGACATGAAAATCGGGGAGATGCCCAACTATTCAACCTGCCTGGACAAACGCAGCTTTTCACGCGCCCAGAAACTGCCAATAAAGTCAAGTGGCGAAGCTTAAGCCCAGAAAACAGTGCATGATAGTTTTGGAGACTATCTTTGACTCTCTGGCATTTACTACCATCTTTATATTGTGGATTTATGAGTCCAGACCTTTGAGTATAATTTCATTCAGCAAGCCTCAGTCCTACACGAGTAAAATAAAAACCTGCACATATCCACAAGAGCCATGTTAGCACCACCGGGCTTTGCAATATTGCACAATGCAAACTGTCAGTGCCTCAATCAATATCCGTCAATGCTCAACAATACAGACATAGTGCTTCAGATGGGAAAAGATTAGCCTTTATCAGATTTACCAGTTGTCCAGGCAATACAGGATCTGGGATGCAGGCTGATTACGCTCAAAGAGATATAACATTAAGTGCAAAAATGATAGAGCCGTGAGGTGCCAGTAGTAACCCAGCTTTTGGAATGGGGAGCCTTTGCTTTAATACGCATTAGAACAACAGCAAAAAGCTCACTCTGGGTCTATGTCCCAGCCGCTGCTCTCTTCCCCATGTTGCTCTGCCTGCTACAAGGATCAAATTTCATGGTTTATTGTTCTCCCTCCAACTGGCCACCATCCACATTCTTCTTCTGTACAAAGCTGCACCTCTTGCTCAAAAGAAGAGAGTACTATGCCTTCTTTTTATAAATTTTAGTCACATTTACAAACACACACACAGAGTAAGGGGATGACTTTTAAACACTAAACAACATTCCAGGGAACGCTGTTATTCTTCTTTGAGCAAGCTTCTGTGAACGAGGCTAAAAAAGGGCAGTTTTCCACCAGAAGGTTACTGATTTTTGAAGATGCACAAGTTGTCTCCCCTGTCTTCTGAATCTTTAACAACTTGCCTTTTAATGAAACAACTGCTCTATGCTTGAAAAGTCCTATTCATCACCTGCCTCAGGAGAGAATTGGCACCGAGATTCTGCAAAGCTCAAATTCAGCTCTGGGTACACTGCTGGAAATCAAAACCACAGTCACTGGAGCTACTTCACTGTAATGGCGTGAAACTGGTACACAGCGGGCTGGGTCCAAAATTTCAGTATCAATGTCTCAATGTAAGTAATAAAACTATTGCAGACAAATAATAGGTCTACATGCTAGATTCAAAGAAATGTACCAAGTACCCCAGAATTTTAAGGTTTCCTACCTAGAATATTTTTTCCATCTCATTTTTCTTTTAATTCAGCACTCAGGATCTATTTTCTTCTATGAGATTTGCAGTAAAATTATCAAAACCTAACAAAATGTTCCACTCCTGAACATCCACCATCTTTCTCCGGCAGCTCAACAGACTGTAAAACTGAAGCACTGTCATCTGGTGTGTAATTATTGCAATAACTCTTGTAAAATGAGGGAGGCACCATAAGCTTACCTAACTAGTCTGAAAACGTAAAATGCTCATCACCTGTAATCATTGTCTTAACTGTCCTTGATCTCTACTGATAGCCACCAAATTATAACTCTCTCTCTGACAGTGAGAATCAGCTAAAAATGCAGCACAAGCAGAGCATGAGGAAAGCTGCTGGAAGATGGGCTATTCTGGCCAATTAAAGAGACTCACTGCAGGAATTTTTCTCTTTTTTTTTTTGTTTGTTTACTTGTTTGATTGGTTTTTGCTTTTTTGCTAATCAATGACGTAGGGGGTTCCGAGGTGTAAGGCAAAAATGCAAAGCAAGGAAAACTAGAGTACAAGAAACCTCAGGAATCCAACAGGGATGTGGCAATTCCACACACCCAGCAGTAGAGCCAGGAAAAAAAAAAAATGCTCAAAGGTTATGGACATATAATCACAAGCGATCATGTTACTGCAGTTAACAGCTCACTAGCCATCATCTGAGATGCAGTAAAACACTGTGAATGTATTCTTCATCCACACTACCTCCAGAGTAAAACATCTGATGGGCAGTAATTCACGAAGCTGCAGAAACTTAACTCACTTTCAACTGTATGTCCACCCATACTCTTAGATCCCAAGCCAGCAAGATGCTCTCCTTTGGGTTTAATTTGGGTCCCACTGAACACAAACACAGGGTCCTCAGGTGCTTAAAGCAACATAATTGCTTCAGACCTTTGGTGAATTAGGGGCTTTATATTGACAAGCCTTTAAAAGTGAACTATATATGCCACATTGTTACATGTTACATATGTGGATAAGCAAATTCAGCAAGTCACCAGTCCTTCCCAGCTGTCTGTTCTGAGCTGCTGTACTGAAGCAAGGGAGTACTGCGCGCACAACTTGGAAAAGAGTGAGTCGATCCTAAAGTGGCACAGTGGAAATGCACCTCATTGATTTACCACTAAGAACCTGACATTTAGTAACTACCCCCTTATTTCTAATTGCTATCACAGGACAACGTTACACCAAGTCACCTACTTGGAAGATATCCACCTCTGTAACAGCCAGTCACTTGGCAGGGAAGAAGAGCAAAGAAACCCAGGCTCTGGAGTGTATTCCCCAGCTAAGCACCATGCTTTCAAACAGATCCTAGCAGAGCTTCAGAGATCAGTCCCTGGTTTGCTGGGTGAGAAGTGTTTCAATCCTTCATGAGGAGCTGATAGAGTGCCTGTGCGCACAGCTAAGCAGCTTGAAGGATTCTGCTTCCGAAGTGCTGGTTCAGCCTAATAAGGTACTTGGCTTTGGGGGTGAGGTTCAACGTTTCCTACTATTCTTCCTAACAAAAAGATCACTATTTATTCCTCACACCTAGGCTGCTCTCAGACTGAGTGCCCAAGCCCTTCCTTGCTCTGAAGTCCCTGTTCACAGTAAAGCTCTCTTATCTGGGGTAGCAGTGGATAGTGCTTCACACCTCTCCTTCAGTCTGAGGGAGAAGGGTGCTGGAGAGAAATCAGGGCTATGCCTCACTCCTGCCAGCTGCTTTTTTGCATTTACCAGCTCAGTTAGTATCAAAGATCAACAAAGGGTGGGGAATGGCCCTCATCCAACGCAGGGCATTGCTTCTGGCAAACCTTAGTAACAGGTATTTCAAGTCTGCCTCTTTGCTATTCGGGAGCTGTACTGTGTGACCTGCTGTCCATGAAGGACTTGCATTTTAACTTCACTTCTCACCCCACCTGATCTTTTCTAGCTTCAGAAGCATAACACAGAGATTAATTTGTTGAAGGGCACTAAGAAAAAAAAAAAGATGTTCCCACTGAAAAAGATGATGGGAAACATATTATGGGAACATCTCTACAGCTTACAATATAAGCTAAGTAAGAATACCAACTATATATGTAAAAATGATTTATTTCAGTGGTATGAAATGTGTTTTGCCTAATAGTACAAAGTTCTCCACTGGGCTAGAAGAGACAATGCATGGTGGAATTACAGTACCTTTCAACTGAAGAAATAAAGTTACTCTGATAATGCCAGAATGTTGCTATTGCCTTGTCCACATGCACACCGTGCACACCCCAGAAGTTTAGTAACGTCGCATTTGAAGCACAAAGGAAAGTAAAAACAAGAAAATAAATGACTCCGTATTTTCACATAAGCCCTATAAGACAGAAGAGACGTTCTCACCTGTCTGCTTTGAGATGGCAATGTGGCAGGCTGCATGTGTCTCTGCATCCGATGTGGCTGCATCAGCTGTCGAAACTGCTGCTGGAGAAACTGGCTATTGTTAGCCTGCTGGGGCTGCTGCGTGGCTGGAGACTGCTGCTGCTGCTGCTGCTGCTGCTGGAGATAGTGAATGAGAGACTGCTGCCCTTGTCCTGCTGTCAGAGGTGACATCTTTTGAGTAGCTGACTCTGAGGCAAAGTGAGACAGTGGTTTGGTGTTATTGAAAGAAAACTGGTCTTGGCTAACAGGGCTCTCATTCACCAGACCTGGCTGTAAGCTACTGGATGGCTGTTGCATAATTATGTTCATATTTTTGGACTGGTTTGTAGTCATTGACTTAAAAAGCGAGCTCTGCATACTTGTGGGGTTGCTGGTGGGAGTGATGTTAGAGATTAATGTACCTTGAGGACTGAAGGGCTGCTGATGCAGAGCTGGGCTTGACAGCTTTTCTGGCCTGTATGGTGGAGAAGGTCCAGTATTCGTAGAGGCCATGCTGGCAACTAGGTTGTTCTGTGGACTTTTAATGTTGTTGGCTGGTAAGCTGGCTGCTGTCAGGGTGGGCAGCATGGAGCTCTGCGGGCTGAAGGGCTGCTGGTTCAGAGCTGGACTGGAGAGCTTCTCGGACCCATAAGGAGGAGAAGGGCCATTGGATGGGGTGCTGCTGGAAGTCATGCTTGAAAGCAGAGTGTTTTGAGGACTCTGAATGTTGTTTCCTGACAAATTATTAGCAGGCATGCCAGACACCATAACATTTTGAGGACTGAAAGGTTGATGGTGTGGGGATGATCCTGCCCTGTAAGGCGGAGAGAGACCAGGAGGAGACATAGTTGGCCAGCTGGGAGCCTGTACTTGCTGCTTAGTAGTAGACACCTGCTTGCTAGCTGCCAGCTGCTTTAGCTGCTGAGCGTGCCAGTTGGAGCCAGGAATGTTGGGTAAGGGTACTGGAAGCATAGGTGGTGGCTGGTTCTTGCTCTGAGCTGCTGTAGAGATGGGCGATGCAGCAGGTTTGTTTGAGGGAGGAACTTGGAAGTTAGCTCCAGCAGATGATGGTCTCATCTGAGGAGATCCTCCACTGGCTGGATTGCAGCCCGGAGAAAAATCTTTGTTAGCAACATGGTTCTCCAAGTGGGAAGTCTGTGGGGAGGACTTTGGAGTGGTACTTATGCTTGGTTGAGAATGACTCAGCCCAAGCGGCTCTTCAGCCTTGCTGCACAAAATCTTCTCCAGATCCAGGTCATTGGGAGAAGGATCAGGCATTTTCGTCAGCTCTTCCAATAGATCTTGCAGCTCTTGGTCCACAGACTGTAAGCTGTTTCCTTTCTCGTCATAGTGGACAATGTTATTGTTTTGCCCTCCTATTGACCCCTTCTGATTTATTTCCGTGTTGGGTGGCACTGAAAACGGGGAACCAATGCCACCGCCATTCATGTGATTGTTTTCGAGGAGCACTGAATGACCTGCGACTCCCAGGGAAGAAGCGCTGTGACTGGTGGAGAACGGAGAACTTTGCATTTCTGGACACGCCACATTGGGATTGGCACCTTGGCCCATGGCAAGGTTTACGTCATCAAGACAAAGTCTTTTACTGTCATTTGGGAAAATGACATCAGGCACACCACTAGAGGCAGGAGAGCTATCATCTTCCAGTTTTCTTTTAATGGATCCTTGTAACTGTGAAAATAAAAAAGGAAGAAGAAAGGATCCGTTATTGACCTTATTGTGACATGCTCTGAAGCTCCATACTGTAACACTGAGTTGGAGATAAAGAAAATTAAATCATACAATTAAAAAACCAATCATGTGAGACAAATTCAATCAGGATTTAAGTGGGTGCAACTCCAATGAAATCAAGAGTTATAGTCAGACAAAGGCTAAATCTCACGTGTTGGACTTAAAACAGATGTTAAAGCTGTAAAATACTGTCTGTCATGTGAACTGTAATAGAAGTTTTTTAAATAGTTTCTGGTATCATTTCAATTAAGACATTATACTCCCTGCATAACAAACATGCCAACATTTTTATGGTAACATTTTTTAGGTCTAAATGGCAGATCTGAATTAAACCCTGGACTGAATTTAGTGACCTTCTGCCAGTGACTCGGATTAAATTCAGACCTGAAACAACTAAATTTTTTTACATTCTTTATAGGAAGAACATCTGAAATAACTGGCATACTTTCTAAACAAACTCAAACAAAACAAATTCTCAACTATCAATTTAAACAGACTTTCAAGCTCCCTAAACACAGATGTTTTAGAGTTCAGAAACAGTAAATAACAGCTAAACCTCTTAATTTCTGTTTATTCTTCTAAGTCTAAGGCAGTATGGGCTTTGTTCTTTTGAAGGATTGCAACTCATTCATAGAAATGTGTTTTCAAAATACAATTATACAAATATCTTGATCTACAAGAAATGGTAGAGTTGTAAATCCACAAATCTTCAGGAAAAAAACCTGCCTTTACATATAAAAGTGAAACTGAAAACAACGCTTCTAGTACTAGTTCAGTGTGATATGGCAATCTCTTCCAAATATAATCATCTGTGGCTTTCAATTTTAACAAACACGACCTGAATGTCATAGGATTAATCAGACATTAACATTGCTGCTTCAAGCTAAGGGAAATAAGCGTGAGGTCCTTGTTTACCAATAGAGGGAGGTAGCATTTAGAAACACACCTAGTCAGCAATGGGAAAACCATACAAAGTCACTGTTCCTCTCAGCCAGCTCACAGTAACGCCTCTCCCAGCTCTGGCCTACAACTGCAAGTGCTGCCAGTCATCTAGTACCATCAAAAAAATTCACATCTAGTAACAGCTCACATCACCAGAACAGCCCCACCACCTAACACCAGTGTAACCAGATCCACTCTAGGGCTGTGGTGGGTATGACAAACTTCCTAATTTTATACTAATTAATAAGCACTTCACAGTTTTGCCTAAGAGCCACTGTGCAGCAGCCAGCAACTTTGGTGCTCTCAGACAGCAGTGTCACAGGACTATCACTGCACGGTGTGCAGAGGCTCCAGGGCACAAGGTGGGCACACCTCGTGCAGCTCCTTCTTCAACATCCACATGAAGGTCACTGTGCAAACGGCCAATGTTCACCCCTAAATTCAGCCTGTCTTCAGGCAATCGACAACCAACGTGCATTGTTCTGACCTGGGAACATGGGAGAGTTGCCCGGTGGCTCAATCAGCTGGACTCACACAAGTGCCCTGTCATCACTTATTTCTAAATTGGTGGGCAAAGAGAAGATTGCAGCTTTGTGTTTACAGCTGCTTAGGCTATAGATGCAGTTTAGGATTTGTATCCGACACTGCCGTGCTAGTAGCCAGTTTACACAGACATTTGGAGGAGCACGAGAGAATACAAGTTAGTTGTACGTGATCATCACGGCAGATGGAAAAGCAGGTCTGCGTACTCCGGCAGCTGCTGATCAGGTTTTAGGAGGAGTTCACCCACCCTCCATTAACACAGACACAGCAGTTTTGAATGGCATCGCAGCAGCGACCTTTTTCCACAGATATTTTCCCCTTACCCTCTAAGAGTTATCCCTTACTAGAGCAATCACTGCTTCTCTCCTGTGACCTCCAGTTGCATTGCTTTAACATGGGTTGCACTCAAAAACCACTGGCAAGTGAGAACCGACGCTGAATGGGGACAGTTGCTTTCAGTGCACCATTCGCTGGTTACCTGACAGCCCTCTCCGGTCAGCAGTGCTACGCGTGGTTTGAATCGTTGCTCTGCGAGAGGCTGCCTTTACATCACAGGCAGAGACAGCTGAAACATCACTGATTTGATTATTCCTCTGGGCTGATGAGGCCAAAATTTGCTTAGCTTTAGGAAATGGAACAAGGCCTAAATCTTCTCCCAAGTGTTGGTCTAATGATGGATGAAATTGTTTTCCTTCATTTTCTTTGCTAAAACTAAGCCAGGGTTGCATGTTTCAACAGATGTTGCCCTGTGTAGGCTGAAACATGTTGGTAGAGCATAAGTACATAAATTTAAACCCAGACATGTATAGAGAATCTTTACAGGGGCTTCACACGTCCAAAATAAACACAGTATGTTCCCAAGTTGCACCCTGGGAACCTTCAGGCAGGAAGTGGTGGGGGATCTCCCATACTTGGCCAGCTGACATGCTGGCATGCATGTCCTTGCCAGTGCTTCTTTTGCCATAGGACATTCCTATACTCTGAGTTACTGGGGAAAAATTCGGGCTTTCTAAACACTTTGAAAAATACTTTTTTAACTGTTGCACTAGGGAGTAAATGTGATGGGAAAACAAAGCTCCATTTCCCCAAGACTATTACTAGATATAACCAGATAAAATAAGGCCATAGCTTTCAGATGGCATAGGCATTCCAAAACTGGGACAGGATTTTTAAATAGGATGCTGTTGCTTAGCCCTCGTGAGAAGCCTGGCTGTAAGAGGTAGTGAAATTATTTGGGTGTCATGTTCTCTTGAAAAGCAAGACTCCTGTTTCCCAGGTGAATATTTGCACAAGAACCACAAAATCCAGAAGACCAGTTTCCCCCAGTGTAGGCAGGTATAACTCCACACAATTTAGTAGCATTTCTTTTGCTTAAGATAGATTTGACTACAGCCCCAAATATGAGGAAAAAAAAAAAGATACCACCCTTAAAGCAACTAAACAAATCATAGAATAATTTTGGTAAGAAGGGACACCCGGGTGTCATCAGCCCTCTGCTTCCAGCACATCACAAATGAAAAAAAACAGATGGCATTATTTCACCAGGCACTACAACTACATAGAGAAATCTCAACAACATACAGAAATTCTTTCTTTGGCTGAATGGGCTAGCTGAGAGGTTTGTTTCAGTATGCCCCACTGAAACACAGGGGCTTGTTAGTCCCATACAGCATGCTCCGTGCTGGTGCCGTCTGTGAGGAGCCAGCATTTTTCTCCCCAGCATCCAGCAACTGCTCTCCATGAACGTGCCACTGTGGCAGCCCTGACCAGTGCAGGGGACAGTACTGCAGTTTCATATCAGGGGGACACTGGCTGCCTCAGACATGCTAACAGCAGCAGTAGCAGGAGATCATCACTGAGGCACTACAACTTTTAGGACCAGGAGCTCCCTGCCTTACTAATTCAAGAAGCTGCTTGTTGCAGATCATTCATCCAGTACCCTCAGACATCTCAAGACCATCTCTTTAAAGCCTATCTATCCTTTTCTAGACTCTTCTCTTTCTAACAACATTTTTACTGCCCATTTCATTCATCTGGCCCTGGATTCCCCAGGAAGGAGCTGATTTATTCCAACTCTTTCTCCTCTTCTTCAAGAGGGCTTATGGTATTTGACAAAATCATCAGAAATGAGAAGAGCACTAAAATATGTTCTTCCCCTTTCTCTGCTGATTAGTATATTGGGCAGCTCTGTTTCAAACTGAATACTTGAGAAGTTAATAGAAATATTTTAGAAACACGTAACACACACACACTCTTAACCTGGCTGGAGGCTGTCTATGCCTAAGTATGGGAAAGCTTCTTTCATATGTGAGAGCAAGGACGAACCAGACAAGCAAGAAAGGGGCTCTTGTGACCTTGTCAAAATTCATTAAAATGCATTAGCATGCACAGGCTAACTTCTGTTTGGGAATACCTGGGACAAAAAGGCAGGCCCTCCGATTCAGGGAATATCCGAGTTCTCTGTTATCTCAGGTTTGCATTTAGAAGTGAGTGCCATGATCCCAGCACTACTGCCCTCTCAAAACCAACAGGCTACCTTTCTGGGAAAGACCCAAGTTACAAATGAGTAGTGCTGCTAGCTTGCGATGGCAGTATAACAAGAATAAATAATAACTGTTTACCCTGCTCCTTCCAAGGAAGCTATACAGCTGTGGTTACAAACATCTAATTTGTCACACGCTACCTCTTCGCACAGAAACGATTCCCTACGTGTAGGCAGAGCACTCCGCAGGCTTCTCTTGTGCAAGGAAGAAAAGGCAGACTCGGCAAGTGAAACTAGTCCTCGGCTGCACCCTCTCCTAGACTGAGCTCTCTGAAGTTGCCCGCTCAGGTGACTTCTGGCATCAAGCACTTTCCAAACGCAGGAGGTGGTGCTGGCCTTGAGTAACTTACTATTTCTCAACGAAGGGAGAAAGGAAGACTGGAAGTGGCAAAAACTGAAGCAGAGAGATCAAACTGTTAATAAACACACACTGTGGTGGTTCCACTGGATTTTAACAACCAACCAAACGAGGACCTCTGGACTGTTTCCCTGCCTTGCTGTCACTCAGCCTTCCTCCTTTTTTTAACATATCAGCTGTCCTCAGTTGCCAGTCCAGCTCTCCCTGTGAGCCAGGCTGCCCCATGGCCTGGCTGCCAGCCCCTGTTAATTCTCCACCCGTCACTGGCTCCTTCACCTGCACAGTATCTGGGAGGAAAGAGCCACTGCGGTCTGCTTGGGAGAGCCTCCTTTCTCCAGCCTCGCAACGATCCCCCTTATGCCAGAGATACACCAAATCTAACCAGAGATTCCTATTTAAGCCAATATAATGCAAAAATGAGACAGAGGAAAAACATTAGGCGAGGTATTTCTGTGCCTCTTCCTGGCTTCTGCAGGCTGTCAGAGATTCAAGCCTTGATTTACAGCAACTGCAGCGTGCTGATTATTGATCTGCAACCACCCCACCCCACTCACT